CAAATGAAGTTTTTAGCAATGCATATTACTAATCAAAATTTAAGTTTTAATATATTTACAGTAGGAAATTTACTAAATATATTCATGGAACATGATCTTTACTTAATATCCTAATGATGTTTGGCATAAATGAAAAATCAATAATTTTGACTCATACAATGTATTTTTGGCTATTGCTACAAATATACCCCAGCGACTTAAGACTGGTTTTGTGCTCCAGGGTCACACATATGATGATTTGCTGCTCAAGAAACATGTCTTATTATTATCAATTTTGAAAACAGTTGTGCTGCTTATTATTGTGTCGGAAACTGGCATACAGGATTCTTTGATGAATGAAAAGTTCAAAAGGACAGCAGTTTTTTGAAAATGTGAAATATTCTGTGACATTATAAATGACTTTACTGTCACTTTTGATCAATTTAATTCATCTTTGCTGAATAAAAGTATTAGTTTAAAAAAGTACTTACCCCAAACTTTTGAACTATACTTTTAATGGTAGAATTGCTGAAATTGAATGGGTATTTATTTAACACAATATTTACAATAATACTTTGAATTGAGCATGGTGAATCTGGTGATCATCTCTAAATGGTCAATGAATTGGCCTGGCCGACATACCAGTCTGTCACTTGCCCCAACATGTTCACTGTTCAAATAATCATTTGTAAATGACATCATGAGATGCATGATGATTTTAATTCAAAGCACTGGATGTTACTTAAAACAGCTGGAGTTAGATATACATGTATATAATATATTTCACCGGGCATTTTAGGGGAATTCTACTAACAGTGTTAAATGCTGAATGGTTTACCCAGTTGTTTAAAAGTTTGTTTACTTTGCGATTACTGGCTCCAGATGGCTATCACTGTACTTGAGATCCGAATGGAAACCACCAGATATGATCTAGTGTGTATTCTCACAAACCGAGATTTTCACCAACCACAGACGTTGACAGGAAGTTCATGTTCGTTTTACAAAATTGCTCAGAATTTCCACGCAGAACTTTATTGTTGCTGAATCAGGTTTTGCCCCCCAGCTGTTGACTGATGCTCAATTTCCATTTCATCCACAGTCATAGCTTCATGTTCTGGCTGTGGTGTGTATGTTGGGTTTGACACAGAGCAGAGAAGTCAGGGCTGTGGTGTAGATCATCTGGCTAAGACACGCACACAAAGGCTAAACAAACTCCGACTGAAGGCAGAGAGCGGCCCCCACGCTTCAGAGGAAGCCAAAGTGTGGACAAGGCTTCTCTGGGGTCACATGCGGAGGAATATGAGGGGCGGCATGTGTCTTATATCCAAGGAGCACTTAGAGAGTATTACATTTTAAGGGGAAGCCACTTGAAGTAGAGATAGCGGGGATAATTTGAAAGGTTTAAAGAAAAGTAGGAAGATCATTTTGTTTTTCATGCATGGAATGTTAGAGAGTCTTTAAATGAAACTGCTCTTACACATGTTTTCCATTAAATCGCTTGATATACACTACAATTCAAAAGTATGTTTTTTTTTTTTTTTATGTTTTTGAAAATGTATCTTACACTCACCAAGGCTGCATTTATTTGATCAAAAATGCTGTAAAAATTGTGAAATATTATTACAATTTAAAATAACTGTTTTCTATTTGAGTATATTTTAAAATATAATTTATTACTGTGATGAAAAAGCTGAATTTTTAGCAGCCATTGCTTCAGTCTTTCAGAAATCATTCTAATATGCTGATTTGCTGCTCAAGATTCATTATAATTGAAATATTCATTATCAATGTTGAAAACAGTGTTTGATTAAAAATTTTTTTTGAAAAAACTGGATAATTTTTTTTCAGGATTCTTTGATGAATAGAAAGTTCAAAAGAACAGCATTATTTGAAATAAAAAAATTTTTTGTAACATTATACGTTTCTTTACTGACACTTTTAATCAATTTAATGCTTTCCTTGCCAAATAGAAGCTTTAATTTCTTTAAAATAAAATAATAATAAAATTAAAATCTTACTGAGCCCAAACTTTTGAATGGTACATTATTGTACATAATACAACTGAAAGTCCAAAAGAATTGAAATAGACATATTTTGCGGCATTATAGATGTTTTTACTGTCACTTTTGATCAATTTGATGTCTCTTTGCTGAATAAAAGTATTAATTTCTTTTAAAAAAAACTGACCCAAACCTTTAAATGGTATTATATTAGTCTACAAACATGTTGAAACCTTCAGATACATTGTGCTGTGGTGCTCAAATGGGAGACAGGGGTTCAATTCAGGTCCTTATTGTGTCCCGAACCCATTCCTCTTTCTTCCCCCCATCATTTTCTGTCAAAGAAAGGCATGCAAGTTGCTGCAGCAGGCCTGTTGTGAGATGCTTTGAATAAAACATCCACCGCACACACATGCAAAATTCCGCAGGGATCATATGTGATGGATTAAGAGTAATTCATGCAAAAAAAAATGAAACTTCTGTCATCATTTACTCACGCTCATGTAGTTCCAAACCCATATGACTTACTTTCTTCTGTGGAACACAAAGGAGATGCATAATGACTCATGCACTATATTTCAATTCTTCTGAAGCCGTAAGATAGCTTCATGTGAGGAAAGTGAACCAAATTTAAGTCATTAATCACTGAAAATATATTCAGAATTGGTTCATGAAGAACTGCAAATGAGATTTTTTTCTTCTTTTTTCAAGTAAATAAATACAGACATTTTATATTTTGGATTTAATCAAGCTCAATTTAATATTCTGAAAAGCTGTTTCAAAGCTTTTTTACGTATCTATTAATATGAAGTCCAGACTGTTTATTGGACTAAATTACTGGCCTAATGAAGGATATTTGCATTACTAATCAAATCAGGCCTTGTTTTGGATCCAGTCACTCATCTGACGATGCAACAAAGTTAGTGCTGCTGAGAGAGTGGAGAATGGAATGAATGCTTACGCTTGTGTTTGTGGGACTGGATGCGAGTCAGTATATGTTTGCTATCTGAAACATCTGCGCTTGTGAAGCTCAGGAGGAGCTACAGATGGCATCCAGACATTTGCAATATTCCTCAAGAGCCACATGCTTAAATCTCTCGCGGACAGATGAAACTTTGGTCAGGGCATTTGCTAAATATGCTGACGCAAATGTTTAATGATCAGCTGTCCTTTCAGATAGCAGTTTAATGCAATAAAGATTGAATATTCCTTAACTAATAAGCCAGTGCACTTAACTTGACCTTGATTTTTCATCTTATCATCAGGTCACCAGGGCTTACGTGTTGCAGCGGATGGGCGCAGCAAGGCGAAGAGTGTTTAACACGTAAGTGTCATTTCCTGTATGTTAGATCACTTCCTGAGTGTCACTTGATTTATATCTTGATTATGTCCTTCTCCCCTCAGCGCTCTGCGAAGGTAACTTCACTTGTAATGAGAACGAGGTGTGTGTCCGACCAAACGAATGCCGCTGTCGTCACGGATATTTTGGGGCAAGTTGTGACACAAGTGAGTTCAAGCTAATTTTAATAATTAAAAACTCATTTTTGCCTTCTACTCCTCGTCAGTTAGATTTAAAGTCATCTACAGGTGCATCTCAATAAATTAGAATGTCATGAAAAAGTTCATTATTCTAATTTGTTGAGATAGTGAGTTGGTGGGTTTTTGTTAAATGTGAGCCAAAATCATCACAATTAAAAGAACCAAAGATTTAAACTACTTCAGTCTGTGTGCATTGAATTTATTTAATACACGAGTTTCACAATTTGAGTTGAATTACTGAAATAAATGAACTTTTCCACGACATTCTAATTTATTGAGATGCACCTGTATATGCTAATATGCTCAAAAAACATTTTGCAAATATATGCATTTTTCAGGTAAGTGGCCTAAAACACTATATCCATATTTTTATCCAATAAGTTGCTCTTAAGAATATGTCTTGTACCAAATAGCAATAGCAAATCATAATGTTGCAATGTTATGATCAAAACAAAAGGCTATTTATAAAAACAGTCAAATCCTTCATTATGTCCCTCTCCAAATTCTTCTTTTAAAGGCATGTACTTCAAAATAAGAAAACTGTGAGAAAAAAATAAAACGCTGTTAACATTAGCAACTCAAAAATTGACACTTTAAATATGTCTTTTCCTAAAGAAGAAATATCATAATCTTTCATAAAGTTCCTTCACTTCTAAAATGACTTTTCATTTCTAATGACAAAACCAATACCACGTGAATAGGGAAAAACACAAATTAATATTTATTTCAATTCATTCCCATTCAAAAGTTTGGGGTCAGTAACGTTTTTTTCATACTTTTATTCAGCAGGGATGCATTAAGATTAAATTGATCAAAAGCGACAGTAAAGATATTGTAATGTTACAAAAGATTTCTATTTCAAATAAATGCTGTTCTTTTGAACTTTCTATTCATCAAAGCATCTTGAAAAATGTATTACAATGCCCACAAAAATATTAACCAGCACAACCGTTTTCAACATTGATAATAATAAAAAACTTTTCTTGAGCAGCAAATCGGTATATTAGAATGATCTCTGAAGGATCATGTGACACTATAGATTGGAGTAATGCTGAAAATTCAGCTTTTCATCACAGGAATAAATTACATTTTAAAATATATTAAAACGGAAAGCAGTTAATTTAAATTGTAACATTATTACTGTTTTTACTGTATTTTTGATCGCATAAATGCAGCTTTGGTGAGCAGAAGAGACTTCTTTATAAAATGTTTAAAAATCATTTCCAACCCCAAACTTTTGAATGGTATTACATTATATACAGTGTATCACGCTTATAAGCAGCCTTTTAGGTAACACTTTCTATGAAGCCCATATTTATAATACATTATAAGAGTATTCTTAAGGCATTATAATGAAAGCATAATAATGTATTATAAAAAAAAAACTTATGTTTTATCATCTCATGAGTAATCATGCATTATAATATTTACTTATTTGTGGTTATAGCTTTTAAGATTATGATGATTTATAATACACAATGAACACAATGCATCCACTTAACTTACAATGGATTATATTTCCCATAGTTATAATATATTATAAGTCTCATATCTTACCATTGTTAACTTGTTACTTTACTTAAAGCAGACAAAGATCACTGATAAATAATAACAACAATAATAATAAAAAAATATATTTTTTCTTAAACAGCCATAAGATCAGAAATCTGATCAGATGAATGTGTAATATGGCACATTTGATTTGAACTATATTTATTGTAATGTCAGTAAGATACTCTATACAGATCTTAAATAAATAATGTCAAGATATGTGACGTATAATCCATTATAAATTAAGTGGATTTAACATGGTGTTTATTGCGTGTTATAAATAATCATAATCATAAAAGTTGAGTAATGGCAGAGGATCCCCAAATCCATGTGTGAAAAACTTGTTGCATCTTTCCCAAAGACTCATGGCTGTATTAGATCAAGAGGGTGCTTCTACTAAATACTGAGCATTTTTCAGTTTTTCTTTTTTAATAAATTTGCAAAAATGTCAACAATTCTGTGTTTTTCTGTCAATATGGGGTGCTGTGTGTACATTAATGAGGAAAAAAAATTAACTTAAATGATTTTAGCAAATGGCTGCAATATAACAAAGAGTGAAAAATTTAAGGGGGTCTGAATACTTTCCGTACCCACTGTATAATCCATTATAAATTAAGTGGATTTAACACGGTGTTTATTGCGTGTTATAAATAATCATAATCATAAAAGTTGAGTTTTATAATCTATTATAATTGTTATGATTATTTATGAGATTAAAAGTTTTTTAATAATGCATTATGCATTCATTATAATGCCTTAAGAATACCCTTATAATGTGTTATAAAAATGGGCTTCATAGAAAGTGTTACCGAATTGTATTTACAAAATAAACACTTTAGGCTGTGGTGAAAGAACTTATTTAACTGCCCAATTTGAGTTTTATAATCAACATAAAATATTGTCTAATATGCTTTTAGCTTCCCAGTTGCACAGTAAACATGTTTCTTTACCTTTTAACACTGTAAACTACAACCTGTGCTTTTTTTTTACTCCTCTAGAGTGTCCCGCTCAGTTCTGGGGTCCAGACTGCAAGGGCATGTGCACGTGTCACCCTAACGGTAAATGCGACGATGTGACCGGGAAGTGCACGTGCTACCCAAACCGCTGGGGTGAGAACTGCGAGAAGCCCTGCAACTGTCAGAAAGGGAAATGTGACCAGGAGACGGGCAAATGCACCTGCCATGCCGGTTACTGGGGGCCGCAATGCAACAACAACTGCTACTGCAGCATCAACTCAGTGTGCGACCAGAACACGGGCCGGTGCATCTGCAACCCCGGCTGGTTCGGCCGTAACTGTGGCGCTCAGTGTGTGTGTAACAACTCGCCTTGTGAGCAGTTTTCGGGCCGATGTCAGTGCAGGGAGAGGCTCTGGGGTCAGCGCTGTGAACGGCACTGTCAGTGCACAAACGGGAAGTGTAACCCTGTGGATGGATCGTGTACCTGTAAACCCGGATACAGAGGAAAGCTATGCCGGGAGCCGTGTCCAGCTGGCTTCTATGGACAGAACTGCAGAAACAGGTGAGGAAAAAATTATATACAGTACAAGAGTCCCTTATACTTAATACGGCTGCATTTATTTAATCAAAACAACTGTAAAATGTAATATTGTGAAATATTATTACAATTTAAAATAACTATTTTCTATTTTGAAATATTTTATTGAATGTAATTTATTTTTATGATGCAAAGCTGAATTTTCAGCATCATTACTCCAGTCTTCAGTGGCACATGATCCTTCAGAAATCATTCTAATATGCTGATTTACTCCACAAGAAACATTTTGTATTATTATCAATGTTGAAAAAAGTTTTGCTGCTTAATATTTTTTGTGTGGAAATTGTGATGTACTATCATACAAAAGGGGTAAGTAAGTTTTTTTTTTTTTTAAAGGGGGGTGAGGAGATAAATTAATTCTTTTTTTCAGTAGGGGTGCATCAAATTGATCAAAAGTCACAGTACAGTATTTATATTAAAATATTTCTGTTTCAAATAAATGCTGTTGTTTTAAAATTTCTAGCATCTATTCATCAAAGAATCCTGAAAATAAAATATTAGAGTTACCACAAAATGCAGCAAAAACTCAATATTGATAATATGAAGAACAATTATTCATAATTGAGCACCAATAATAAAAGCATCAAATCAGCATATTTCACTATATACT